GGACTTGATACCTGTCTTCACGACCCCCCGAGCAAGTCAGGTGCCCGGATTGCCTCTCGGGCAGAACAAGCCCACCCTGAGCCTAGTAACCAAGTGCTCAAGTGAGCTCTATTCCAGTATTTCCTCTTCGTGGGGGCAGATCATACTTTAATTTTCTCCCTGTTAGGGTAATATATATCCTCCAGCACCTCTGGGGGCTGTGGTTTCAGCCACTACATCCCCAATCTGTGGAATTCCCTGCCTTAATCCCTCTGCTTCGGCTCTTCTCATCTATCTTTAAATCCCACCTTAAGACCTACCTCTTCGACTGCGTTTGTTGTCACCTCCCCTTCCCCCTACAGTGGCAGCATCTAACCGTGCTCCCGTACAGCTCTTCAAGACGCTATCATGCATGAAGGATGCTGTATAAACACAGGTTGCCGTTGCTCCTGGCCCCAGATGTCTCATGCTGGGGGGCAGTTCCATGGTGCTGGTGACAGCCACGGTTTCCTGTTTGGGCAGCCATTGCAAAATCTCCAATTCTTCATCCCTGAGGCCAGATGGTGGTAGTGAATGTTAACAGTCACAAAACACCCAGCACCTGTTCACACAACGTCCACACACACCCTCTGCCAGGCTCAATTTGTTGTCCCGCTATCCCTAGTCCAAAGGCACGAGGTCAGATATAACACCCCTCACTGCTGCCCTGCCTGGTATGAGCTTTGTGATTAAATGATTCACTTTGTATAAATAACTACTAATTCAAGATTTAAAGATTTGCTCACTCGTTTTCAAATCCATTCATGCCCTTGAACCTCCCTACCTCTCTGACCTGCTTACTCCCCACTCCACTACCTGCTGCTTCTGCTCGACTGGCTCCAGCCTCCTGTTTGTCCCTCGTCCCCTCCGCTCCACCATCAATGGCCGTGCCTCAGTCACTACCCCTGAAACTCTGGAACTCTGTTCCTCAATCCCTCGCCTTGCCCACTCCCTGTCCACCTTCAAATACTGCCTAAAGACCTTCCTTTTTGATTGTGCTTATGGTCATCTCCCCACTCCCTCTCCCCCAACTCGTTATCAGACTCCACCACTGTCAAGCTCTCTGGGACGGTACCCTGCACGAAGGGCGCTATATAAATGCAAGTTAAAATACTTGTGTTTTTGCATATTATTAAAATACCCAAAGAGTTAACAAAAGCAAGAAGATTAACATCACAGTTAGGGGTGTTATACCTGACCTTGTGTCCCTGCACAGATTTATCTGAATGTGGTTAAGCAGGAAGGAGTTCTGCAAACAATGATAACGTGTGCAGTGCAAACGTGATGCCAACAAACAGGGTAATCTAAAGGTCATGCAAACTAGGTCATGCAAACAGGGTGACCAAAAAGTCGTGATAACTACCCTATTATCTAAAAAAAATCATAATTTCTTCTAAGACTTTTTGGACATTGTAAATGGTATCACGATTTTTTGGTCACCCTGTAGTTTGGATGCCTCATCTGTCCTGAGTTCCTTGACTCAGGACACATGAGGGATCAAAACAAGAATCTCCTGATTTGCATCACAGAATAACATAGACAATGCTGTGTGCTCTTGAGTATATAGTGCTCTGCATGTGAGGTAGAGTCTCAGAGCACTTAATAATAATCTGTGCATCACGTCATTGAGACGTTTCAAAGCGCCTCACAGAATATATTTTAAAATGGATTGATGAGCGAAACGTGGCAGCGAATTACGAGTAGCAGCATCCCACAAACAGTCGTAGATTGAGTCATAGTATGGGGCAAGGGGGGAGGCACAGTCAAAGAGGAAAGTCTTCAAGCATCACTTAGCGTCACTCTTACCAAGCGAGCCACGGAGGCAGGCCTGCACCGTTTTAAAACATTTTTATTTTATTTTCCGATTGAGAAGCTCAAATTTCCTCATAGCCTTGGCCTTATTACCGTCTGTATTTTTAAGATTGGTGCAGAATTTTGGA